TTTGCTGGTTCTTTTCTGGTTTACGTAGGGTATTGGTTTTTGTTGGGGGGCGGGGGGGGGCTTTTTTGTGGGGGGTGTGGCGTTCCCACACACACAGGTAAGAGAGATTTAACCATTTTTTAATTTAAGTCCTTTATTTCCCCCCTCTGGATATGAGGGGCTAGTGTAGTTTTCTTAGAACGAAATAGCTCAATCTCATAGAGTATCCTTTTCATCTCTAGTCTGAAAGCTGATGTCTTTCAACACCGTTTCTTTAACCATAACATAATTCATGGATGCAAGGAGTTGAATTTAATGTTTGTGAATCGAGTAGCCAGTTGTTACTAGTTTTATCAGTATTTTTATATGCAGGTTTCCAAATAAACAGTGGATATAAACAAAGAAGTACAAAGGTTTTTTTCAGACCCGTATATGCATTGATTCATATGTAAAAGCATCCCTTTGGGATCTAAAAGAGGCTTAATTTGGATCCTGGAATAATAGTCTCATCCCATGAAACATAATTAGAGTTGTAATTTTAATATTAATAAGATGAGTTGCACAAAGTTCTGAGTCATGTATTAATCCTATGATTAAATATTTTTTCATTTTAAAACTGAAAGGATGAATTCTGAACTTTTTTATGAACGCTAACAAAAAGACATTAGTGAGAGAAATGGGGATGTAGAAGACTTTTGTCAGAATGCTGAACAGAAACATTGTCCTCTAATCCTGATTTATATATTAAGTTATCACATTTGCCATATTATTAGATTAATATTTGAAATAATAACAAAGATGACTATCCTAACCTAAGTAACCAGTTGTGACATTTAACACTAATTAAATTTATCCTTTGAGATAATTATTTTTTATGAACACTAACAAAAAGACATTAGCAAGAGAAATGAAGATGTAGAAGACTTCTGTCAGAACGCTGAACAAAAGAAAAATTACATGAAGGCATCAACATAGAAAATTCCTTGTTGCCTTGTAAGAAAACTGTCAGCAAAATAGACAAATGCTTGCTCTAGGATGCATTTAAAAAAACCCAAATACTTTTTTTTAATACTTCTAATATGTAGGAGGAACTGTTTTGCATATAGTTGAGGTGATACCAGTTACCAGTAAAAAGCTACCTTCTTTTGACCATAATAAAGAGCTGCTCCATATGCCTCTGTAAATGTTGCCTTTATTGAGAACTTGAATCAGTCGATTAGTGAATCCTGTTCAAAGATAACAGAACATGTTAGTATGAGTTAGGGAGAAGCTGTGCAAAAGTACTGTGGTAAAAAAAAAAGTGAGTTTTTCTTTGGAGAGACCTACATGGACAGTGACGCAGAAGTAGAACAGGGAGAAGACAGGCTGTTTCAGCTCTCCTGTGCGACGCATCAGGTCAGCTTCGTAGCCTTGTCCATCCTTTACCTATATGTAGCTTATCGCACAGTAAAAACAAAGTAACTTTTTTCTCTCTATTCTCCCTCTGGGTAGCTCACAGATATAAACTGCTTCAGATATGAACTTGCCTTTTCAGTAGTGGAGGTGAGGCCTCTGACACGTGATGTTTTATTTCATCAAGTTGCAAGTGCTGACAATGTTATAATGGCAGTCTGCTTGGCATCTAATGGGTAAACAGTATTGCAGTTCTTAAAGTCACTTAAAGTCACTCAACAATACTAACACCAATACGAACTAGTCAGTTTTCCCAAGTCAGAGGCAAAAGGGAAAAGAGGGACTTGGGGATGAACAGGACATTTAGGAAGGTCCCAAATTAAATAGAGGAACGTTGTTGCTTTTTTTAATATTTATGTTCTTGCTTTATGACTGTCAGCACAAGTGGTATTCCTTCCCAAGAAAGACAGTGTTTCAAATAGCACTGGAATTCCTCTCCTTGATTATTAATAATTATATACTGTCTCCATAACAATGTTATGAACTTTCATCTTGAATTTAAACAGCCAAATGCTAATATTATTGTGTCTTATTGGAAAATGTACCACTTTCTACAGCACTTCTCTGCTGGTTTTGAGAATGAAAAGTCTGAGATTGATTAAACAAATCTACATCTAAGTCATGGCCCTTAGCAACAGGAAGGAATGAGCTCTACACGAATGAGCCTGTAGGTTGGATTTTGTTAATAATCCTGAATATCCCAAGAAGAATCTATCCCCTTTGAAGTCTTAGGGAGACTTCACTTGAACTGTTTTGTCTATCTGTGAGAGCAGCTTTGTTCTTCTTGTCCCACAGAAAGTCCCTTTCACCTCCAGCTTTGCCTTCCTGTCCATTAAGTCTATAGGGAACACATAAAACACTGTTAAAGACTTCTTACTGTTTCTCCACTCCCCTTAATAGAAGGAGCTGTAGAAGCACTGATGCAGCGATGCAGAGAACACTCTCTTCTCCCATAGTATGCATGAAAGAATGTGACCAATGGACAAGAAAATACAGCTAATTCCGTCAGCTATAATAACCAGCTTTCTGCAAGGTAAAGAACCAGCCTTGTATCTGCCCCATTTCAATGGTGTTAGGTTACTCATTAGCCTTTCACACACAAGGTAGTAGTACGCAGGTGAATATTTGGAGGTGTTTTTCTTTTGTACAGGCTCAGCTGGAAAAAGACAACTTTTTTAACTTCCTTAAATATGAAAAGAAGCTTGAAAAAAATATAAATAAAGCTCATGGCACTATTTTGAAATCTAGCAGTAGTTCTGAGTGAGCAGTTGAGATTTTTGAGTAGGTACTCAAACATACCAGGAAAGTGAAGTCAGTGTGGTGGTTTTAACAGATGAAACACAAATCGCAGACCATAAAAACATTTATATACCATTTCATGTGGTCTTTTTAAAATAATTTTTTATAAGGAGTACTTAAGAATAATTGCAAGAGCAGTTGGATAATGTGAACTTAGGGTAGATTTCAGAAAGTTAGATCTCAGTAAAGTAACACAGGGTTTTTTGATGTAAGGGTTTTTCCATAAGCTATATTCTTTACGGTGAAGTTAGTAATTATGTTCTGTGTCTACAAATTGCAATCTGATTTCGTTTTTAAAAGATCTTAGCTTGAAGTGTAAGTACCAGTATTTAGTGTAGCAGTGGTTTTTTTATTTTTATAATATTTTTTTCAAATGTTTTTGAGTTAAAACAGTGTTTGCAGGAGAGAAAATGCTCCTGTGAAGTACAAAAAAAAGGTAAATAGGTTAAGCCCCCTGCCTTCTCAGAACTTTAAATGGGCAAAAACTGAATGTTAAGTACACAAAGAATAAAGTCTAACATGCAGATTCTAGAGGGAAAGGAACTTTCAACTGAAGAACATTATTTAGCTCTTTGTGCTATATAATTTGTAAAGTTTCTGTAACACATGTTTTCAATTCATATTATTTTGAATTGTGCTACACTTACTTAAAAACAAACCCAAGAACTGGTTCACTTCAAAATATGGAGAAATAGAAATGTCCAAACTGTTCAAACTTATTTCTCATTTCTCTTACTGTACTTTCAGATTTTTTAAGTGGTGGGTAGGATATTTCCACATTCATTCCTCTGTCTCATCAGAAATTCTGTAATGCATCGTTGGGTTAAATATTGCCAAAATACCTTCCAGGATGTTAAAATACATTTTAGGATGTGTCTTGGTCAAATTCAGGGGGGAGAGGGGGTGGCATACTGGGAAGAACTCCTGTAAAATGACAACAAAAGCCTATCAGGAATTGACTAGCTTAGGCGATGCTCTGAAATAGAGTATTGTTCTGTGTTTAAAATAAACATAGCATTTGCTATTTAGGAAAATACAAGTTGGGCAGTGAGAGTGTCTTTAATTTTCCACACATCCACCTTGTTTAAAGGCTTATTCTCAAGAACATTATGAATAGGTCACTTTGAATGTCTGCAAGAAGAAGTTGTCGCCTCCCTGCAAGTAACTATAGATTTTTTTTCCAGGTTTTGTATGATTTTTCCTAGTTACTTCAGAAGTGTTTCCCACTGCCATTTGCTTGTCATGGCTTGTTAATTCACAAAAAGCTTGTTTGTTGAAAGTGGCTCAAAAGTACGTGGCAGGTGGGAGAGGAAGTCTCCAGATTACTTGCCTGTGTTTTCCCTGCAGGCATTTAGGTTTGTCTTGTTCTTTTCCTCCAACGTCTCAGTGTGACGTTTCTGTCCCTATGATACTAAATCACCTAGAAGTTGTGTGGCTTCCAAATTCAGTTGGAGTAAAGGCTCACATCAACAAGGTCAAGAAAAGGGACTTCCAGTCCATGTTTTAGAAACATTTGTTTCTTCTGGGAATGAATACCATGAGCTTTGAAGGCATATTTAGAAAGAAGGAGGTCTTTATTGTTGTGAACAGCCTTATATATTTCTTTCAGTTAATGTTTTAGACAGTATTTTCTTGGTAATTTGTTCCCTAAGAGAATTGAATTGCTCTAAAAAGAAAATTCAGCTTCAGCTATTGCCTATTTATTGGGGAAAAAACCCAACAAACCTTTAAAAAAATCATACAGTTTTCAGTCAACAGAAAGTAGAGGATATCTGTCTGCAGTCACCCTTACCAATGTATGCTTCTCAGTGCTTATTCAAACTTGTGCACAAAACTGCGTGCATGCTTAATTGGAAATTTTAATCTTTAACTCCATGGCATCAGAAATAGCTTTTTCCACAGGATCTTTGTTCCATACATGTCTGTGGAGCTTGCTTCAGTTCAATAGGCAGTGAAGAAAATGTAAACTATGATTGTCCTCTAATTCTGGTTATAGGTGATCTGCATATGTTAATTGTAATCTTTGCAGAGCTTTTTCTTTTATGTGCTGGTTCTCCCCTGATCTTTCCTAGCAGGAAAATAAATCTAACTTTTGTAGACCTTCACTTTTTTCAGGTCATTTAATAAGAAATAAAGACTTTAAAGCATCTTCTCTAACTGTTTTGATGTTATGTAGCTAGATTTATCTTCTTAGTTTCTTTTGCCATTAATGAATATATGCCCAAAGCGTTTTTACTTTGTTTGGTTTTCCCCTACCCACAACTTTTTAGGAATTGATCCCACTCATACTGTGCACAGCCTGCCTCCATCCTGAACCTAAAGAGAGAGATCAGCTTCTACACATACTGTTCAATTTGATCAAACGACCAGATGATGAGCAAAGGTGTGTTTGCGTTTGTGTGTTGCGGGACAAGAAGAAACTTTGTTTCTTTGTCAAAGAAGCAGAACTGATAGAAACTGGATATTATTGGATGATTTTAACCAAGTTTCACTTAAGCTAATGTTTTACTGGTGTAATGTTGACAAATTTATCTGGACTTCGGGAGTCTCCATTTCCATGACCTGCACTTTCTAGCTACGGAAATGTAAGAATGTGCTTGGTAAGCTGCAGTGTAACATTTCAGTTCCTTTTTTATTTAAAGATGAACTGAAACACTTTGTTAAAATGAGCTTTAAAATCATAATTCTTAGCAATGTTTGATAGAGAAATCAAAACAGCTTTTTTAAACCGCTGTTTTATTCTATCTTAGTGATCTATATGTTTGTAAGTTAAATACCATGTTTAGTTGGGGGAAATAGCATGAGAAAATAGTACTCTTCCTCCTTATGGTTCAGTACTAAGGTAGCAATAAAAAAATCAGAAGACTGAAGCAGTGATTCAGTTCTGACAAGTGTTAAGAGCTTTTTTTAATTTTGGTTAAGACTTTAAACAACGTATACTTTTTATTTTGTTTTACAAATTTAGTTCTTCCTTGGTACTCAGGAAATCTGATTGACTTTGTACCGATCTTGATGAGAATATCCTTAAGGTTGAAAGACAGTATCCTAGCTGGTATGTTTCCTTCTCTAACTGTGGAAAGATTTTTCATATTTGATCTGTAGGTCTTCTATTATTTTCATTAGAGATGTTACGTAAAGCATCTGTTATCTATTGTTGCTCTATTCTGTCTTCAGACAAAATACGCTTTATGAGATAGGTGAAAAGCATTTCTTTTGAAGATTCTCTGAAATGGAATTGTTCTGGTATATTCCTAAATTGTTCCCATGGTAAGATTTGGAGATGAGGTACAAGTGAAAGAGATGGCTTTGGAGACAAAAAATGCATAAATAAATAAAAGCAACTTGTAGCACAGTGGCACCATGCAGATTGAAATTACAAAAAGATGCAGTCCTTGTTCTGCTTCAGATTCATTAGAAATCTGCTTCTGGAAAATCTACCATTACCTAAAATGTTTTGAATGTCCCATGCGGCCTGTAAAGCTCAAATTATTTTGTGGTTGAGGGGGGAAGGAAGTTACATCTTGCTTGTAGTCTCTTGTAGTTAATTTGTCACAGGATTTTTCATATGCCTGTTTAGCTGCAGTTAGGTGTGTCTTTTTCCTTGAAGTTGTTCATTCTTTTTTTGTGAGTTAGAGATTTATATCTAAAAGTAACTCATTTTCATCGGAAATTTGAGAATAATATTCTGCTACGACCTCCAGGACAAAACATGTATATACATAGTATACATTTACACACATTAAAATCATAATCTCTTTTAAACTTGCCATAATATCTGACTGAAGAATAAGTAAAATTCCGTCAACTAAAGAGATTCTGAATACAAATTAGATAGATAGAAAATACTTATTCAGAATTTCAGTTGGTATTTTATACTTACATATTTGTATGGAAGTGTATTATGCATGCCTGTTTTGTTTAGATAAGTTTAAATAATATTTTAGCAGTTTTGTGCAATATGAAATAAGCAAAGACATTCAGGTTTAGTCACCAGAGCAATGTTATTAATTATCTCCCATATTATTCGGTTACCTTCAGTTTTATGGTACAGGCCTACATTATACATTAAAGTAGAAAATTATAACAACTTGACTTTTTTAATTTGCTAAAGGCAAGAAACCGAAATGTGACATTGCATTTCTAATAATCAACCCATTAAAGTTAGTCATTTATTTTAAATATTTGACCTTGTAAAGTACATAAACAATTATGCGGAAAGCCTGTATTATACTTCTTGCCCATGTGAGAGGCTTTTTGGTGCATGCAGATATAACATATTTCCATTGTCTTGTACAATATATTTATATTGTATATACAATATCTTGTACATTATATTTAACAAGGCCACTTTTATCCTCAAGGCTTTGCTAACTAACGTACTCTTCAACTTTTCAAAATGTCTATCAAATTCTCTTCTGCAAAGGAACAAATATGTGTTAACTTCTTCTTGGACAATTATGTTGGTTTTGGAAGCTAAGGAACCATGACTAATGTTGGGGTCTTTAGGACAAGATTAAAACATGGTTCAAAATGTGGACTCTTGAAGATTTCCAAGTTAAGGTACCCAGAAGCAGCACTCTTAATGAAAAGAAGTTAAAATACATTGTTTAGTCTATCTAGTATGACTTTTCATTGGTCATATGATACTACCTCTTACAGAACAGACATAACTTGCTTACATATTAAGGAAAACTCTAGTAAGTTAGTTTTTAATACAACATTTAGGAGTGATAGAAGAGCCTTGAACTGTGTAATAAAAGATTGAATTGCTTACCAATGCATGCAGTCACTTTTTAAGACCTCTAGAAAGAGTTTAGGAGTGTTAAATTATATCTGTTCTACTCTTAACTTCTGCCTTGTTCCTCTAGTCTGACTCTTGATTTCACCTTGGTTTCTGTACTGATGAAGCAAACTAGTGCTCTGCTGAATCGTACTGATTTGCTTTTACATTCCTGCCTACGTGATCATATGTGCATAACCTGGAAAGGAAAATGTTCCCAGCATCTTGTTAACAAAGAGAAGATTATGACAATAAGTAGAAGTTTCTCCCCATATCCAGCCTAAACTGCAATTTTTGCAACAGCCTAGTGTTAATGTTTTTTGCTTCAATGACCTGTTGTTGAGATCCTTCCAACCTTTCCTTCCCTTGAAACACCAACTGTTGTCATATACTTTTAAGATGGTTACAGTAAAATACTTAAAACATTATTTTTTAATATTTTTGCAATATCTTAAAGTTCTTTTTGTCTTGCCTATAAAGTAGGGAAATCAGACTTAATTTTGAGGTTTCATGGGACTTTCTTGAGACGGTTTAATTTAAAAAAAATAAATAGATATTTTGGGTTTCCCCATTTCAAATGCAGAAGATTTCAAGTGATTACTGTGTTCTGCTTCTTTCTTTTCTAATATCCTATAAAAGTATATCCTATTGTCTGGTTCTGTGATTAGTTTCAGCTTGTGTAGAACCAAGGACAGGCACTTGAATAACTATTTTGTTTGTTGTAGAACTCAGAATTACCACAGGCTTCTGTCTCCATATTGCTATCGCATATCAGCTGTTGATTTCTTGAGTCTTATCTAATCGTTGCATTTTTCCCCAAGCTTTTTACCTTGATCAAAGGTCTAGTTCTCTGTATGTGGTAGAGAGGAGAAAAAACCACCACAATACAAAACCAAAGAGCTTGCTCTGATGGCTGGCCTAAAGAATGCTGGGAAAAAAAAAAATTAATAGACCATTTCTTGAAAAGATTCTGAAAGCAAATTAGTATCTTTTTGATGGAGTATGTTATATAACTGGTTAAGAAATAACCAGCAGAATCTCTGCCTTTCAACCTTAAGGGCATACTATTAGCTGCAGTAAATATTTAGGACTTTAAACAAGACAGTAAAACGCTAACAAATTCAGTCTGGCTTACTTTCCACAAAGAAACAATGAACAAATTCTCAGTGGTGTCCTAATCTTACTGTGGAGGTGATAAAATGAGCCTCTCATACCCGTGCATTATTGTTTGAAACTAGTTATTTAAGTGTTGATGTAGGCTTTAAAAGTAAATAGAACTGGTGAATTGCATGCAAAGTTGGTATCATTCCAATCCTATTAACAGGAAAAATAGTAAAAATTCTTAGCAAGATAAATACTCATTAAATAAAAGTTAAAATTTTACAAATTACAGTCAAGTACAATTTTACTGAAATTTTAAATATATGTCTGCTTATGAAATTGATGGAACAACAATGATTTCTTGCAAACTTTGAGGAAAGTTTAAAAAACACAAGAATATAAATACAGATGACTCAGGTGTAGATACTACTGATTGATTAATTGCTTCCCTTCTCTAATGGGCTTTAGAAGATTTCTGACGAGTAAAGTCCAGTATTTTGGGAGAGAAGACAGTAACTTGCATCTTGGAATGTTACGAAAGCATTTCATGAAAGGATTAAGTTACTTGTTTTGAACAAATATCATTAAATCTCATGAATGCTTCTAAATAAAAGCAATATCTATACTTGACTAAAATACTGATGGTATGATACCATTAAGTCATTCAGATCTTTTTACTGCATGATGAGACATATTATTCAGTAATAAGAATTAAATGAGAGATTTAGTCAGAGATTCCCAATCTCAGATGTTGGGAAATCAGAGATTTCCAAATCAGAGATTCTCAGGCTCTGGTTCATGGAGTTTGGGATCTGCAAGTTTCTGGAAAAGGCATATTAAATAGAAAACAAGATAGTGGCTTTCATTTTAACATTTAACCTTCAAGTCAGCATGTATGGTGTGAAATTTTGACTGTAGACAATTACCTGTTGCCTGACAGCATCTGCTTTCCTAACTTAAAGAATATATTCTATGTATTATAGAACTTTACTTTATAAACAGATTAAAGCTTTAAATTTATGTTTCCAGACAGATGATACTGACTGGGTGTGTGGCGTTTGCCCGACACGTTGGACCAACACGTGTAGAAGCTGAGCTTTTACCACAGTGTTGGGAACAGGTACCATTATTTTATGCTTTATGCTGGAAAGTTAGTTTAAGCTTCATAAATGTTGAATTTTATTTGTTTGAGGGGAAGGTTGTTTTGTTTTTGTTTTTCAATGAATGGCAGTTCAAAGTATTTTTCAGAAAGATGCTCTTTGTCCTCATTGTATAAACTTTTATATAACATCAAAAAGAACTCAGAAGGAGCAAAGTTGTCAAAGACTTTCTGGAGATTCTAGTTACTTGCATATACCTACATATTTTTGTTGTATTGAAATGTAGATATGCACATGTTCATCATCAGTGTTGTGTAACCTATTTCCAGGTAGGTGCTTTTGTATTTGTACTGTAATTTCCAGACTGTGGGAAAACCATTTTCATTCAAAGATCTCATTTGCTGATTTTTATATTGTAACAAGTTTCTGGAGCAATGTCCACACTTCAGCTAGTTTGATCTTTAATATTCTGTTTAAGAATTTAAATAGTCAGAAATAAGTTTCCTGTTGATGAGCATGATTTTACACCTGTAAGATCAGCCTGAAGTGTACATGTGGCTTCTAGAATCACAGTAACCGTTTCCACAGATGTTCTAAATTAATAGAAATAACTGAACAACCAAACTGAAATGCTCTTACACTTTCATCTGAGGCATAGAAACAGAAGAACGTGACTTCAGATGAAAATGCATGGTATTTTCCTACCTTAATGAAGAGAAGGGAGTTCACCATTGCCTAAAAGACAGTGAATAACTACGCCATGACAGAGTGGTAATCCTTGCTTTGATGGCACAGTCTTTCTGGTCTGATAATTGTCTACTGTTTCTTGCATAACTCAGCCATCTGTGTTTCACAATAAAGTCCAAGCTTTAATAGTCTTAATGCTTTCTGACAGTAGATGTATGTATGGCATGCAGCATTTGTGCTTATATGTGACTGATGTATGTATTGATTAAATGAAATACCCATGGCAATAGAAGTTGAGCACAAAATAAACCTCATCTTTTCTTAGTCCTTCTCATGAAACTTGAAGTATTTGAAAAAGTCTCACCTCAGTAAGAGCACATCTTCATCATACCAGTTTCTTGCTAATTGCTGATGCAAAAGAGAAACCAGTCCAACTATAACAGTACAGCATAGCATATCAGGCTGCCAAGCCATATGTCATGCATTTATTTAATGCGGTTTGCCAGACTTTGTTTGCAGTACTGAAACCAGGTCATTATTTTCTCCGGCAAAATACCAGCTGAATCTCATTGTTGCAAGACTGAGTTTGTAGAAGGAACTAAAAAATACACTTTTACCGTCTCGGATGCTGTAATGATGAAAGTGTTCATGCAGTTGGTCTCCAACCAAAATCTATTTACAGATGCAAAGGACTAGGCCCTCAGAACGTTCAGCATTTTCATCCACACATTCTGGAGCTTAGAGTTATCAGGCTAGTCTTTGAGATCTTTCTACCTGCTTTTTGCAGCTCCTCATATAGAATTTGGTAGCTGGCTCATCTGAGTTTAGATCAAGGCTGTGTGAATGCTAAAAGTTCCCTCAGAACTAGCGACCAGTTAATTGGCTTCTAAAATTATACTGCTTATAAAGATAAAAGAAAAATAAATTATAATAAGCATTTCACAGTTATGTTTAAGTTTCCAAGGGCTAGTAATCTTCCCTGAACACAAACCTTGTGGAAATTTGGGTCTTTTTTTCCCCTCCAGCGTGTCAACATGTCTTGTAATATCAGGGGTGATATTTGTATTGCCTTGCCAGTCCACCTGAACCAATTGAAACTAGTCTTTGCTGTTTCCCTCAGGTAGGCAGAGCACCAGAAGGGAAAGATAGCACATAAGTCAAAGATACTATAGGTATTAAAGCAGCCTGTTGCATGCCCATAATGTTTCTCATCTATGAAATCTTCATACTTCCAAAAAATAGATGCCCTACTGATGAATGAATGCAAAATAATGATAGACGCACTCAAAGAACGTTCTCCCATGCTTGAGACTTCAGTTTAGCTCTGAGGCTCATGATTTGTTCATTTGAGTCTCTTTCCAGTGATCTTTGCCACAATTCATTCTTGAGAGAGTTCTTAGTGATCAGAACAGTGAGAAAGTTGAAGACATGAGTAGTAGTACATCAGTGGTCAGGTACCATTGTTTAGTGTGCTGTGGAAATACAGTCAGGGTAAGAAGTTGTCCAAAGTTGATGTATTACTATGTCTTCATCTGTAGTTTCTCCTAAGCCAGTAGAATTGAGAGAATCACAGAATGGCTGAGGGTGGAAGGGACCTCTGAACATACTGTAGTCCAAGCTCCCTGCTTAAAAGAGAGTCAACTAGAGCAGGTTGCTCAAGACCAAGTCCAGTCTGATTTTGAATATGTCCAAGGATGGAGGCTCGTAACATCTCTGGGCAACATGTTCTGAGGTCTTGCCACTCTCCCAGTAAAACAGAATTTCATATATTTCAATTTGTGTCCATTCCTCTTGTCCTTTCATTTGGCACCTCTGTGTTTTTTACCTCTCTGCAGATAGGTACAGATATTTTTACACAAGGCTGAGATCTCTCCTGAGCGCTCTCTTCTCAATACCGAGCAATCCCAGCTCTCTCAGCCTCCCCCCTGTATCAGATACTCGTATCTCTTAATCATCTTCATGTCTCTCTGCTGGACTTGCTCCAATATGTCTTTGTTTCTGTAGCTGGGAAGCCCAGAACTGTACACAGCACTCCAGATGTGGTCTCACGAGTGCTGAGTAAAGAGGGATAATCACTTTCCTTACCTGCTGCTGCTGATTTATGCTAGTGCTGCCCAGGATACCATTGTTCTTCCTTGCTGCAAGGAGTGCACTGCTGGCTCAGCTTGGTATTTGTCAGGCCCTCCAGGTCCTTTTTTGCTAAGCTGCTTTCCAGCCAATTGGCCCCCATTCTGCCCTGGTGCATGGGAATTATTTCTGTTCAGGTTCAGGACTTCGCACTTCCCTTCCTTAAACTTCATAAGGGTCTTGTCTGCCCTTTTCTCCAGCATGTTAGGTGCCCCTGAATGGGAGTATACCCATCTGGGTATATCAACCACTCCTTCCAGTTTTGTGTCATCTGCACACCTGTTGAGGTGCATTCTAATTTGCCATCCAGGTCATTAATGAAGATGTTATACATCTTTGTTGTTGGCCCCAGAATCAACCCTTGTGGTACGCCACTGGGGACTAGCCCCCAGCTGCAGCATTTTGAGCCTGTGATTAGTTCAGCCACTTTTCTGTCCACCTCACTGTCCTTACCTAGCCCAGACTTCATCAGTTTGTGAATGAGGATGTTATGGGAAACAGTATCAAAAGTCTTGCTGAAGTCAAGATAAACAATATTCACTGGTCTCCCCTTGTTCACTGAGCCAGTCACCTTGGAAAACTATTAGGTTGGTCATGCATGTTTTTTCCTATATGAACACACGCTGGCTATTCCCAGCTACCTTCTTGTCCTTCATACATTTGGAAATGCTTTCCGGGATTAATTGCTCCAACACCTTCCCAGGAGCTGATGTTAGGCAGAGTGGCCTGTGTTTCACTAGATCCTCTGTCTTGCCCTTCCTGAAGATAGCAGTGACATTTGCTTTCTTCCAGTCCTCAGGAACCTCACCCATTGCCACAACATTTCTTTGATTGTCAAGAGTGGTCTTGCAATGACATCAGCCAACTCCCTCAGCACTGATGGGTGCATCCCCATCAGGGCCTACAGACTGGTGTATGTCCAATTTGTTTAAATGTTTCTTAACCAGATAATTCTCTACCAAAGGTAAGTCTTCCTTGCTCCAGATTTTCCCATGGGCTTTAGGGACTTGGGATTGCTGAAGACAAGTCTTCTAGGTAAAGACTGAGAACAAAGACAGCAGTGAGTACCTTGGTCTTTTTCCATGGCCAGATGGTTGTCTTACCAAGGCTATATGCTGCATAGCAAGAGAGAAAGAAATAGTCGTGCCACATCTGTATCCTATTTTATCTGACAGGATCAAACTATTCACTTTTTCCTCTCATCGTTTTACCCTAAATTTTTTAATTCAGAAAGTATACTGAAGCGTATTGTGTGTTTCGTCGTACAACCATTACACTGACTGTTAAAGTTGACTCCACCAGGTTGCAAACTTGGTTCAGAAGTGTCAGTATCAAATTTGTAAGGCACAATTTTCTGATGGCCTTTGAGTGGAAAGGGGAGGTAGGCGTACAGGATCAAGAGGTTCCTGGGAATAGAAGCTGTTTTCAGTCACGCTTTATAGATGCAACATGTTTATGCTGGACTTTAGAGCAGAACTTCAGTAGCAAGTAATACTTCTTGTCTTAGTACATGTGTCTTTTTTTGACCTCAAGTGCTTCAGCAAGATCCAGGCAGCTATGCTACACTGGTTGGCTGAGAGCACTAGAGGGCACTTGTGTAGTTCTTAGAGGAGCGGTGCTCCTGAAGAGCTACACAAGACAAAATATTTCATGACATGCTGCGTCAGAAGTTACTCATATTCTTTGGAGTCCAGCAGCTCGTAACACGGCTTTCCACCATTCTTTTTACTATATATATGTACATAACTATCAGATTCTTCTCTTACTATAAGATCTATTTTACAGGACAACTAGAGAAGGCTGTATCTGCCTTGCCTTTATGCCTCAGAGCAAGAATTTGAGGCTGCTTAGTACCCATATGCAACTTCCACAGGCACAGTCAGTGTTTATCTAAGAGGTGCAGATGTATCCCTCAATTGCAGTTCATTCTAACCACTTTTGAATACTGGTTACTGCAAAGCAAATAGCCATTCTGTTTCTCTTTACCAGATCAACCACAAATACCCAGAGAGACGGCTACTGGTAGCAGAATCCTGTGGAGCTCTAGCACCTTACCTTCCAGTAAGTATTAATATTGACTCTAAATACTTTGCTAGTGAAAGCAAGGTGAAAATCTGTAGCATAATGTAAACATCCTCTATAATTTTAAATTTTTCCAAGGTTGTACATTATGCGTAGACAATCACATTGTCTTCTACTTTATATCACACATGTGAGATTCAATAAATGACATGAAGGAGGAGATGGCTTATTATAAAGGAATACAGGTCAATCTAGCTATAAAATGTCTTTAAAAACAGTATGTTCTGAGAAGAATCATCTTTGTTTCAGCAGAGATGAATTAAAGATAGTTAGGACCAATTAAGGAAATAATCTCGGAAAAAATAATTGGCACACAGTAATAGAGTTCTTCAGACACTGGAACGTTACATGAAGAGTGCTGCCAGTCAAAAGAAGCATCAAAATTAAGTCAGTGGCAAACTAGAATTTGAAGCTTCAGAGAAAAATGAAAATAACCCTAATTAAAAACCCACTTTTCTAATTTAGCAATGGAGCAATTGAAGATTCTGTTTAAAGTTTAGGTCTATAGTAATTTTTTGCTCGTAATTATTTTTGGTACATGCTTCTGTATGAATTGAAGGAGCTGAGTTCTGTGCTTAGTAGGACAAAAGACTCTCTAATGAGGCTACTGACATTTTATATTCATTCATCTTCTGTGGTGAAAACTCAATGCATAATATTTAGAGGGATCCATGGTTGGAGGAAGGGATTTTGTTTGTAAACAAAACAATAGAAGTGCGAATTAGTCACAAAAATTGCTATAAATGTGCATTTCTTGTTTCATTGGATTTAACAAGTATGTTTCTTCTTTCCAAACAGAAAGAAATTCGTAGTTCATTAGTACTTTCCATGCTGCAGCAAATGCTAATGGAAGATAAGGCAGATCTGGTACGAGAAGCTGTGATCAAAAGCCTTGGCATCATTATGGGATATATTGATGATCCAGACAAATATCAACAGGTATAATTTGGTTTGGGTTTTGTATGTATGAAATGTCTTCTGTAGTTATTTCATGAATTGGGGGTGCATAATTTCATGTACTTCTAATAAATCTTTTCAGATACTTTTAAAACATTTGATGGTTTATATGAATATTGATTTTACTGTATCACCAAGACCAAAAAGAAAACACATATGTACAAGTATCACTAGAACCTCAAGTGTAAGCCTCATACAGAAGCTTCTCTAATAATTCATAATTTGCCTTCAAGAACATACTACTTCATTGGCCACCTGATACTATTAACCAATTTGGTATCATCACTTGCTAGCAAAGATTCCTCTGCAACAAAGCCTATTTGTAGTTCAACTTAATACTGCTTAATAATGTTTCAGATAAGTGAAAATTAAGAGCTTCTCATCCTGCCATTGCATTTTTGAAGACAGAGTGGTAAAATGTGTTTGTATTAATTCTCTTAACGACTATAGAGAAATATTAGCATGGTCACTGGACCACCTACTGTTTACCTTTGTGGATGGGCTTGGAATATCTGCTGAGAGGGCTCCATGTGCTATATTGTGCTATTTTTATTGGTGTAAAGATTTTAAAATAGATTATAGTCTTTTTCTAGACTGAATGTTTTGTGTAGCAGACTTCAGCATGAATCGTAGGAAAAGTAATTATATTCTTTATTTTGCCAGGGCTTTGAACTGCTGCTTTCAGCTTTAGGAGACCCTTCAGAACGTGTAGTTAGTGCAACACATCAGGTATTTTTACCTGCTTATGCTGCCTGGACAACAGAACTGGGAAATTTACAGTTCCATCTTATACCTACACTGCTTAATAAAATTGAAAAATTGCTCAGGGTATGTGTTCAGCTGTTTCTACACTGGAGAGTTTTCTTTGTATCTTTGTTACCTTTTTAAAAAAAAACTTAAAAAAAAAAAAAAGTAAATAACTGTTACTTAATGTTCTATGGGTGAAAAATTTTCTGGAGATTTTTGTTATAACTCCATAACTTTTATTTGGCCTTCGGAAAAAAGAAAAGAACACCACCACCAAACCCCTCAAAAACCCACAAAAACCACACAGATGCTTCTTTAACAATGTTTTACTTTATAGCCCGATAATCAAAGTGCAGTTAGAAAATGCTTGCTTGAGTCTGTGACCAGATGATGTGTTTTATTCTGAGTGCATTTACCCTATATTTAAATTGTTTTAAAGTGTTACATAGTGTGTTTTTTAATGAAGTACATTATTTATTAAATAAAAAAAATGGAATTGAATGGTTTAGTTAAGTGGTTTGCAATTATGAGCCATTTTGCACACTTGATTTGGTAGATACCTGGAAAGTTCTGGAAAATAGGATATCTCATAACACAATCTAACACACTTAACCAAGGTGCTTATTTTCAGAGTACAGGCAACTAGTCTATTCAGTTTTTAGATGCATTGGTCCCTAAGACCAAGGAATGCCATTTCCAAAATAAAGGTTTTTCTTTCAGAACACTTGTATGTTCATCAACATGAACCACTAAATGCCAAACGCGATGTTCCTTAAATCTGTTGAGGAGAAGTTCCTTAAGGGTGATGGAGGGATTTGGATGGTGACAGAAAGTAAGCTTGTGGTTAGGATAAACTACGATATAATTAGTGTTTCTGTATAGAAGCTCATCACAGATCTGTTTGACTTCTTGTCAGGGAATGCATGCCTAAGCAACAGATCATCCAAACCAAAAACTTAACTAAATGTCCGGTTTGTTTCAGGAAGGAGAACATGGCTTGGATGAACATAAGCTCCACATGTATCTGTCTGCTCTGCAGTCTCTGATTCCTTCACTCTTTGCACTGGTGCTACAGAATGCACCTTTCACAAGCAAGGCTAAACTTCAGGGAGAAGTACCACAAATAGAAGGTAAATGATTAATTTCTGATATGTGGAATTTTTATAAACTTAAGTAGGTGACAAATCTCAAATCACCATTAACTGTGAAGTAGTAATTTTAACAATAGCCCATATACCTGGAATTCATGTGTATTTAGGTTTATGAGATAAACATAAGTTGCAAGATACATGTATGAACTTCAGATTTTTAATAACACGTTCTCTGTACAATGATGTTTTAAGTTGCTGTCCGCGAGCATTTTTTTCTAATCTGTCTGTTCTTTTTCTTGTATTTTCATATATAGCAAGAACAGAGAAATAAACTCAGGGAACCTGTGTTGTGTTATTAATTTTCCTTCTTTAATGTTGCTGAGTTGATGGAGAATTTTTTTTTTAAGCCAGATTCCAGCATAAGAACATTTGTCATGACTTTTATCTTTCTTCTGTTTTTTCCTTTTTTGGGAAAACGTGTTTCTCCTTAATTTCCTCCCTCTGCTCCTACTTCATTCCTGTGAAAGAAATCAGTCTTAGACCTGAACCCTTTTCAGATATTTAACTGATTACAAGTATCAGTTTATTGATACAGAAGAAATACGTAAGTCATGAATATTTACAAAAATGTTTGTAACTATGTGGTATCCTTTTGGATTTTTTTTTTTACTAAGCAGTATTCTGCACTGTAAGTTACAGGCAAAATGGCTTCTTTGTGCCCAGTGACATAGCTTTATGTAATCCAATAATAGTTTGCAATAAAATACTTTTTTGTCCTAATACACAACACAAATTGTGAAGAGGGGAAAAATATTTTAAAAATACCATTTTGCCTTCTGATTTGCCTCTTAAGTATTTTTTCATATTGGTCTCTCTTAGCAAATCCTTAAGTAATGCTTCCTTTTTCCACCCATTTCTATGCTTGCTTGAGAGACCTGGTTATCACAAAAATAGTTTTTATTTCATCTGTCATTATTTCTCTCTACTTCTTAAAAGAAACTTTTGAGAAAGCAAAGCAATCCTTAATTGGACTTCCTAAAGGTGTCTGAAGAATTGTTTTCCACTAATAGCCAATAATAGCTCACGAGGACTGGCCTCAATTTCAGTTAATTCATACAAATGAAAAATTTTATGGAGTGGGAAAAATACAGGAAGAGCTTCACCATCTGTTATGTATCTATGTAACATCTTAGCAGACTGAATGGCCCAGTGGCAAAGTTATACTTAGATCAGCAATCCCAGACTGTAGGATGTTTTCTCCTATTAGAAATACTTTTAAAAGATATTATTGGTAATACCTGCCACGTGCTGATAACAGTGCAGTGTGTGAAGAGGCAAAGAATAGGTAACCACTTTAAAGGAGAATTAGGTGGTACATTATTGGGCATTAATGTGAAAATGTTAAACACACCATGGTAAAACACATTCAGCTGACCTGAGTCGTTTGAAGATGAGCTCTTTTTGCCTGAGTTGCTACTGCTTAAATAAGTAATTCAAAAATTTCAGGCCTCAGCCTAGTCTGACACTTTCTTCCTCTACAAAAGTGGATGAAAAAGTCTCATGTACTTTTCACTAATCCAGTAGCATTGTAGGAACTGCAGGCTTGCTTTCTTGAATTTTGCAGTAGGAAAGATGATGATCTTGTCACTTAACTTCACTGCTGAGTAATTTTAAGTATGCTTGACATGAATTTGGAGTAATAAAAGCAATATTAGTGTAGCAGACTTTCAATCCCCAGGTATTTTAATGGTCTAGAATTTTTTGGAGGTCTTGCTTTTCCTGTTTAAATTATTCTCTTCTGATAATTCAAATAATTAAGGAGATTGGGGATGAAGTGTGCAGTGTCAAAAACTACTTCCTATATGAAGGTTGAGCAGTTAGATGATTAAAGTGTAGCAGAAGAAGTCAGGAAACCTTTCCTGCAAGTCACCCTACTGTAAATCTGCACTGTATTGTTTGTGACCTTCCATAATCTCCCTGTGCCTGTGTTTTCTCTTTCTAAGTGAGGGTTATGTAATCTCTTCAGGACTGGATTTAACTCACTGATTTTTAAAAAGCAGTTCAATAACCTTACACAGAAGGCATTAAGAGTTTTAGACTTTCTCAGGTATTTTTACTGACATCACCTCCAAGGTATTGTCATCATCTTTTGTTCATGATCGCTTGTTCTCTGCTGTTACAGTCACTAGATTTCCCCGACCTGTATCGCCTCTTCAGGATGTGGCCATCATCATTGGAAGCCGTGAACAATTAGCAGTGCTGTTGCAACTGTATGATTACCAACTAGAACACGAGGGTACCACAGGCTGGGAGACGTTGCTATGGGTAGTCAATCAACTGTGAGTTAATTTGTATCTTGTGATTCCTAATTTTGAAATGTGTCAAAATTAATAGTTCTTAAGCGTGATTATGTTTAATACCTATTAAACATAAGAATTTTAAGTGTTACTATGTTTAAGAACCATTAAAGAGGAAAAGATTGAATTTTTGTAGGCATTTTAATTTTCATGCTGAATTGACTTTGATTTCATTCACTGCTATCTAGCAGAATGTGTAGGTAACTACTTGCTACAAAAAACTATGTCTTTGCACTAGTTAGTCAATTCTCTGTCGAATTGAAGCTGAATTGACTTTGATTTCATTCACTGCTATCTAGCAGAATGTGTAGGTAACTACTTGCTACAAAAAACTGTTTCTTTGTCTTTGCACTAGTTAGTCAATTCTCTGTTGAATTGAAGATTGTTGTATTTGAATATCTCATGAAGTACATTGTTCTGCAGTAACAGATGTTTGAAAATATAGGTCAGATTTTTCTGGCACTTAAACCTTTGCTTTGTTCAAGGGTGAGGAACTGTACAGACCATGTAGATAATTTTATTAGAACCAATAGTTCTGTATGTGTGTATATATATTTTTATTAGCATAAACAGTAACTCTATACAAATAAAACTGGAGAGAAACAAAAAGATCAAGAGTAGTGTTTCATTTCCTTTTGTTTCCTGATTTTTTTTTTTTTTAGGTTACCACAGCTTATAGAAATAGTTGGCAAGATCAATGTAGCATCAACTGCCTGTGTCCATGAGTTCTCTAGATTTTTCTGGAGACTTTGTAGGACATTTGGGAAAATTTTTACAAACACAAAGGTAAGATACTACCTTAAATATTCTACAAAAAGAGTACCTTGATAATGTATATTCTCCATACTTACAGTATGTCTGAATACCTGCACTTTATGTGACCATTTATATTTGCATGTCACACTGATGCTTCTCCACAAGTACACTTGAACCCACTATTTTAAAACTTCTTGCATCCTTTTGATTTCTGTTTTTGACCATTTTGGAATAGCCTTCTCATCTTACCCAAAAAGCAAGGATGATTTTTTAAAAACTGTATTCTTCATATTTGCTTTGTGAATGGCATAGGGAGTGGGAGAGGTCATCCTAATTCTAGTGATTTAACGGTTTTCTTTCTTCAAAGCAGCATAGTGTTCAGTGGTTTTGGTGTACATAAGTAGTCCAGCCTATACTTGATTGGAAATTTAAAATTAATGCTTTCTCTGCTTAAAATATTTTCTGTAGATAGTATCTAAACATTTTTATCAAGGAAATATATAATTTTTCTCAGTAAAATAAATTCTGAATATAATTCCAAAATATTTTAAGGGGAAATTCTAAAACCTGAGAGGATTACCTAAAGATAAAATTACAAAACAGGGTTAGCATTTTGTGCTGCCTCTATAGAGGAGATTAAAACCAGTCTCTGGTCTTTGAAAGCCCCTTCTTTAGAACCCTTGCTTCTATCAAATTGTTCTGATACTGATTATCACAGCTATATTTTTGGAAGAGAGCGCTTCATGGACAGCAAAGATACAAAACAAAAAAAATACATTTTTTTAACATATTAGCTTGGTAGAAATCATAAAACCTAAAACCCAACTAAGCATATTGCCAAGAGACTTCAACTTTTGGTATCAGGAATGCTAAATACTGCTACCTCAGTGTGGGTACTCAATATAAATTTTTACTCTCTTATGTCATACTTTCAATTTTTTTAAAAGCTGGCTATGCTTTTTAAAGTTTTTTTTTTTTCTTTGTGTACCTTCAAAATGTCCTTTTTCTGTTGGTTGTGTTTTTTTTTTTTTTTTTAATTCTTAATTTTTTCCTAAGTTAATTCACAATGGTAACAGGTTTTCTTACGTGGGATTTATCATCCTTTGTATAGGTAAAACCACAGTTCCAGGAAATCTTAAGACTGTCTGAGGAAAACATAGGTAAGTAGATTTTTATTCAAATGAACCACAGCTGGAAAAAAACCTGTCAGTCTCTTGTTTGAATAACATTTTCAGACTGCAGTTCTCAAATTTGTCATCTTTCTGAAATGTTGAAAATCTAATCTTCATCTGAATGGAACACACTGACGTTGTAGGTTATGTGTATGTATGAAGTATAAATAAAATCTCAAATCCAAATTTTAGTACATGTGTGCCTGTATAGATGCATATTTATGTATATAAATTCTTCATGTATATATTAAAAGATAAATATATATAATACTTATAATACACATATAGGCCTACCTTTCTAATATATATAATACAAAATATATGGTGTATATCTATAATATATACACACATATACATATATATAAAAAACCTAAATCCTTCCCTGTGTTTCTTTAGATTCCACAGCCGGGAATGGAGTGCTAACAAAAGCCACAGTTCCCATCTATGCAACAGGGGTCCTTACGTGTTATATTCAGGTAGGTTTGTTTTCCTGTTTCTTTGTTAAATGTATAAAAATATGTAAAATTTATTCTACCAAAAAAACCTCACTGTTTTCTTTGAAAACTGGTAGTGTTCTTATGCTTTGAAGATAGGGAGATAAGTAGGCAGCTGTAAATACATTTAAAAGCCAAGTTTTCCAGTCAGGTTGTCTACTACATTTAGATGATAGTCATCAGTGTTGAAACTTGAATTCAGTAATTCTTAAAACAGCATCTGGCATTGTCACCACTGCTAACTCTTGGACATTGATAGCTGCCATGTTCCTTTATCAAAAATATTAGTTGTTCCATAAATGGGTTCTTGGCCATTTAACTATGACCCTTGCAAACATAATTTTGCAACATTTACTGAAACAGGTAAGCAGGTAAATTGCCATTTGGGGCACAGTTGGAGTCCAAAAATTTCAGTGTTACGTAATATTAAAATAAACATAAATAATACTGTTTAATCCTCCAGTAACTAGCAGTTATGGACTGGCATGTGCATGGCTTACAGAAAAAAATAAGTCCTTCATCTCACAAATGTTTAGTGGACTATGAGCAATCACAAACTGTCAGGAGCCATGAAAGTGCTTAAGTAATCTTTGTAGAAGTTTCTTTAGTAGAACTATTTGGGTAACATATGCATGAGTATGTGCTTAGTTGATAAAATACAGAAATACAGTTTCTTCTTCTGTTTGCTTTGAAATGCTCTTGTTCTTAAACCACATTTTTGAAGTTCATAAGAAAATTGTTAAAGGCTAAATGTAGTTTGTTCTCATTCATAGTTTGTCTCATTCATAGCTGCAGGTCATCACAACCACAGCAATACTTCTTCTACACTTAACATTGTATGCTCTGCTTTCAGGAAGAAGACCGCAAGCTCTTAGTCGGATTCTTAGAAGATGTAATGACCATGCTTTCACTATCCCACGCTCCTCTTGACAGCCTGAAAGCTTCCTTTGTGGAACTGGGGTAAAGAATATACCTTAGAGTTGACTAGATCTAAATACATTAGAAGTTTTTATTAGAACCTGCTAATCTGGCTGTAATTTTAGTAACTGTGATGCTTCAAGTGAATAAAGGGTATGCATGCTTTTTTCCCTTGATCTTTCATTAAATTTTTTTTTTTAATCTCTAGATTAAAAATTTAGTGGTAAAAAAATTCTGAAGTGGAAAAAAAACAAACCCATCCACAAAACACACAAAAAAACCCAAACAAAAAAAAAAAAATTGTATTTTCCATACTGTTATGATGTGCTGTAGATATGTATTTACATTCAGTTCAGTGTCATAATTTCTTGACAATTATATTCTTAACTTTCTTTTCTAAAAGGAACTTCAAAATACAACCTATTTTCTAGACAGCAACGTGTTGCATGTCCTTCAGAATGAGATAAACGTTCTGTACCCTTCAGAAAGGATCAATGTTCGTGGTTTAGATTTGTTGAGCAATGAATCCTTGAGACTGTGTGTTGTAGGCAAAGGACTTTTTCAGGGATTCAGAGTAAATTTTCTTCTTTTTTTTTTTCCTTTTTGATTCCCCAACTGTTTTGTTTTAGTGCAAACCCAGCTTATCATGAGCTGCTCTTAACTGTCTTATGGTATGGAGTTGTCCATACTTCTGCTCTTGTTCGATGTACAGCTGCTAGAATGTTTGAGGTAAGTTTATCCTTCTTACACCTTTTTAAATCTAGAGTGTATTTTTAAAAACAGTGGTTCAGATAATATTGCTACATTCTTAAAAATTACAAATGGCTTAAGTTGTGTACTGTGTGATGGAGCAGGAAATTGTTGTACAGCTGTTTCTGTATCTGTTCTCTATTCAAGGGCACATCTTTTGTTGACAAAGCAATTTGTCATTAACCACTTGCAAGGTGTTGCTGTAGTAACTATGTATGTGTTCTTTGATCTGCTACTGACTTGATTGTTGCATTCTGATTATTGCATGCTGAAAAACATTTTCCAGTTATGAAAATGCATTTCATTTCTAAACTTTGTTCAAACCAGAATAAGATACACTGTCAAATGTGTTTGCTCAGTTCTATAAATAAACATAAACAAGCACCTCTCTGAGTTTTAATGTTTGCTTTTGCTATTCAACACATCATCAGTAGCCTAATTCACAAGTTACTGGTTTTTTCAGTACCTTTTGTGTATACTTGTACAATGCACCTGCATTGTAATTCAAACTAGTTTCCATTGGTGCCAAAAATGGTGGTAAAAATGTACATTTAACCAATTATGTATTTTTTGTAAAAATTAAAATAATTTGCAACTACTTTACTCAACACAGAGTGACAACTTTATCTTTCCCTTAACATCTATAAACTTGGTCAGAACTAATAAGGTTACTTTTATTTCCACATCATGCCTTTGTCTCATCAAGAGTTAATTTAAAAACTGGGACATATCCACTTGCTGAACAAAAAGATTTTTTTTTTTTTTTCATATTAGAAAGACATTTTTGTAATCACACTATTGCACTACGTTTTGTTTTTAAATTGCGTCTCTGCCACATTTGACTCATTTGGATAGCTTTGCAGTGGTCTTCTACCTGAACCTGCCAGGTCGTCATTTGCAAAACCAGATCTCAAGCCTGCCCTGGAAGAAGGAGCGCTTAACATAACCATTAGTGTTCACTGTAACACTGCAACTCATTGCAGATAAAGCATTAAACAGCTACTTTAAGACATATTCTCAGTTACAACAGGCTGTTGTCTTGGTTGCAGTTTCTTTTCAAATTCCGCTGCACGTTGATTATTTTTAGGCAGTCCTGCATGCTTTTTGACTTCTTGTTTCCCAGTGTACTTAATTTTTTTTTTCTAAAGCATAGGCCACTTTGTTGCAGACACTTTCTCACTCGAAAATAGTATCATATTGGCACTTCCTTGATAGCCATAGCATACATATTTATAACTGGCAATATGGAAATTTGGGAAGTCACCTGTGTAAAGAGGTGGTAATAGTTGGTTTTACTTTCAGAAGATTCCTTCCTTCAAGGAATTTCTGACATCTCAGAGGTTGCTGACTGGCAAAGCCCAGCGACTAGATTATAAGAGAAAGAGTATATCACCAGCTGGACAGCTATGTGCATACTGTAAAGATTCTGAGCCGCACGGTGGTCTGTACAGCAGCGCAGAGACTGCTGTGATTTAGGCCTGACAGATTGAGCTACCAAACCTTTACAGTTTCTTAGGAACTGGAAGGACACAGAAGTGATTTGGAGCCATTCTGCCCCTTCTCTCCTTTGGGGGCAGGAAGCTTTGTGCTACCATTTGTAAGGTGTAGTATGCATGAGTAGCGGTCAGACATTGATCTGGAGGCATTAAAACAGGATAAAAATTTGCATTGTCTGTCTCACTGTAACCTTATGTGCTTCTATGTGGCTTTGCCCATCCAGCTGTTTTCTGTTGCTTCTTTGTTAATGTTTTGACTCAGTAGTTTCCCATTTGAATGTTGATGCAAATGGATTTGATTGCTGCTGGTTTGAACATGAAGTGCGTAGCATAGTTATAAGTGCATACATGAGTTACAAGCTTTGTTGATCTGGGCTAAGGGACATTTACCTTCAGAATGACACTTGAATTAAAAAGCATGTTCCATTTTCTGTAAGACAGAACGATGCTGTTAACCATACTTTTATCATAATTAGAAGTGTGGCAGCCCACATAGTCATGGAGCTGAGATAATCCTAAATTGTTTGTTAATTATACAAATGCCAAGCATTTTTTTTTCAAAGCACTACATTACCTCTAGGCTTTTCTCAGAATGAGGATTAGTAAAAGAAAACTCTAGTCTCTGTTACTTCAAAATTGAAAATAGTAAGGATTCCCTATTTTAATCAATGGGAAAATGGGTAAATCTGTTTATGAGAATAAGATCATTGTGTATGTCCTTAACAGCTCTTTGAAGTGTAGCCTGTAAGCTGAGCACATCAGCACTTTTTAAGTTGCTGCCACTGTAAATGATCATGGAATGCATTAATGTTAAAAGGTAGTAGTTGAACTGACATCCCTAATGTTTTGTGAATAACAAGTATAGGAAGTCACAGATTTCCCCCTCCAGGAGCTTTGCAGCAATAATGTGTATGTTCTTACACAGCGTAACAATTCTCTCCCCATTCTTCCTTCTCCGGTTATTACCTGTAAGGCCCCAATATGGTCAGTGCATGTGTGCACCTGTGCATGCAAGCACACACATGCATGCACAAATACTGCTTGACAGAAATTATTGCTTTATATAGAAAGCTTCTGGAAAGTCAGGTTCCTTCCAATCTTTCACAATTTACTTTGTTTTAGATTCAGAGTTGGTAAAGCAGGAAAGGTCAAACAAGTAGCAGAATGTAAAACCTTCCCCAGTTAAAGGGTGTAAATGTTTCCTGGTTTTAGTACTGCAGGATACACTAACAGCTACTGCTTTCCCCATGCCCTATGGATCCTACATGTTCTCTTAGAATCACAGAATAGTTTGGGTTGGAAGGGACCTTTAAAGGTCATCTAGTCCAACCTCCCTGCAGTGAGCAGGGACATCTTCAACTAGATCAGGTTGCTCAGAGCCCCGTCCAGCCTGACCTTGAAGGTTTCCAGGGATGAGGCATCTACCACCTCTTTGGGCACCCTGTGCCAGTGTTTCACTACCCTCACTGTGAAAAATGTCTTCCTTAGATCTAGTCTAATTCTGCCCTCTTTTAGTTTAAAACTATTACCCCTTGTCCTACCCCTTTTCCTACCTGTTGTGACACTGCTGGGGTAAAAGCATAGAATTTAATTAGTGTTCATGATTAAATAATTAGGATATATTCAAATTATTAGGATATACTCAAATTCATTAATATTCAAAAGACATTTCAAATTTCTCGCTGAAACTTCTGGTAAGCTCTTTATGTTTATCTTCTAAAAATAGCAAATATATGCAGACTTCTTTATGTGAGATACAAGATGGCAGTAACAAGGCTTAATTAATGGAGAAAAAAACTTGCTGAATGTGGAGAAAGTTTGGAACTTGTCATTTTTTAAAATCAGTAGGTTTTCATATGTAGAAAACACATAAAGGGCAACTGCTACGTACGTAGCTATACATAAGTATATACTTGCTGTGTAAGTTATATAAAAAAAGTCACCTGGGCACATATAAATTTAAACAATTCACACTTATTTATGGGCAATGACGTAAATTTCACTGTGATACCAGTTTTAAATATTTAGGATGTACTGCAAAAAAAATATCTCTTCCTTAGTTTGCAAAAAGACTTGATGAAATATACTTAATGGATAATCCAAGGATTATCCATTTTCTACCTGTGTAGACCAGGAAGGGAAATTTGGGATGTTTCACATACATACCGCTTGGATGGTGGTTAAATCTAAAATAGTTCTGAAGGACTTTGAGGAAAACTTAGTGGCATCTGGGAAGGTGCTCTTTGTCACACTGCAAAAGGTCTGAAAGGTATCACTCAGTACGGGGAAAACTGCACGTATTTGGCCTAGCTGTAGACATCTGCTTTTCATGTTACAGCCCTATACTATATAAATACCATTCCATTGAGTTAGGAACAGCATTCAGATTAAACTGTCACACTCAAATTGGCATCGTCTTAGTATTTAATTATATATCATTCTATCTATAATTACAACACATAATTATATTAGGTTTTGAATTATAATACATAATTACATGCTAAACTTTTGAGAGTTCAAGTTGTAAAATAGCTGAAGATAGAGAAAACATCTTATTGTTGAATTTGTCAGGTTTGTGCTGATTGCCAGACCACTTCAGCTTTCTTCATGCCTTTGCATATATGAAGCACTAGCGTAGCGGTATTTGCTTAGCTTCTAATTTTGGTTTGCTTTTTGTGTTTTTTCTTTCTCTCTCTTGGTTGTGCCGTTCTTCTTCCCATGATACTGTGCTCGCTCTTTCCGTGCGTCACCTGTGATACCCCCCTGCTCCGACCATTCAGCTGTTGGTGAAGGGGGTACATGAAACTCTGGTAGCTCAGAGAGTTGTTCCTGCTCTCATTACTCTCTCCAGTGACCCTGAAATGTAAGTTTCCTGACTGTCTTATATACCTAGCATCCCTCTTAATACTTCGGAAGAAATAACCATCAGTTCTGATTCTTATTCTAGCTGAACAAAAATTGTATTACTTTTAAACACGTGTAACTTTTAAATGACTTATTTGTAAAGAAAAAGGTTTACTGCAACACCTAGAACTAAACTGGATAGAGTTGCTGAATAAACTTTAAATAGGAAACTAAATCAGTGTCATTTAATTGTTGTGGGTTTTTATATTTAATCATATTTTCAGTTTTGAAATTTATTTAAATTATTTCTAGCAGAAAGTTGGATAGGAATGTGTTCTGTAATGCTGTCAGCTTTACTGCTGCAAAATGAAATATCATTTGCATTACTGAAAGGCAAGATAGTTTTGGCTGTATCTAATTTCCAGTAGATAGCTGTAGTACTTCAATTCTGATGTGATATTTCTTTCAAGCTAAGGAGGGATGCTTTGCTAATCTCACTAACAGGTTGTTACTAATAAATGCTAGAGCATGAATAGAATCTTAATCATTTTAATGTCTTATGTGGGTGACTAAACCAAGAAAAACCCCAAGAACCTGCCTGCCCATCCTCAGTCACAGCTAACCCAGTTCTTCAAGTTTACCAAACCATTTTTTATTGCATGTTAACTGGTTTACAGCTGACTCTCCGAGGCATGAGTGAAGCCTTAGTTGACAAGCGCGTTGCTCCGGCCCTTGTTACCTTGTCCAGTGATCCTGAATTGTGAGTTTCAGATTGAGACCTTGAGTTAATCCTGTCTGTCTTTTTCCTGGTCTGCTTTTTTGTTTTGTCATTGCTAGCAACTAATGTACCTTAAAGTACTAATTTTTAAATTTTGTTGTATTTTTAATTAATTGTATTCTTAATGTTTCATACGTCTTAAAGACTCTATTTTTCTATTGTAGCTCAGTAAGGATTGCAACAATTCCTGCTTTTGGGACCATCATGGAAACTGTTACTCAGAGAGAGGTAAGACATCTGTTGTTAGGCTGGTTTTTTTGTAGCATAAGAAGTGGGTGATTTTGATAAATCCAGAAATATAGTAATTTATTAATGAACTTGGAGGAAAAAAAAGCAGCAGCTTATAAGTTATTTCTTCCTTTGTTATATCCTCTTCCAAAATGCTTTCCAGTTTTGCAACGGTCTTAGGGGTTTTTTAATTTGTTTCGTTGTTTTGTTGTTTTTTTTTTTTTTAAACAAACCAACCCTCTTCTAAGTAACAAAAACATTTCCTTCTAAATATCAGACCAAATATAAACAAAGAAAAACAGATGTCTAGAGGAGGAGGCCTGTGCTAGAATATGGGAAATCCCATGCTCAAAATGTTTTTTAAAACATTCTCCAATACAGTTCAGAAATCCAAGTCTATTATTTCCAAATAAAATAACTTTACTTTAAAATGCTGACCACAAAGTCGTGGTGGGATTTAGATACCTCCACAGAAGTATACTGTACCATTTTAGATGCTTTAGGATATCCTGCTTGGCTTTCAACTACTTTGGAAGGGCACAAGTCTCTTACAGTTCCTGTCATATCTGCTGGTTTAGCCCATGGTGTCCAGCATGGCACTGAAAGGCATCATAGTGACTTATGAAATAATCTGTGAGGATAATATAGATATGCAATTCCTCCTTGTTTTTTAAATGGTGAAACTTTGTAATAGATCAGAATTCTGAAAAAAACACCCAGAATTCTGCTGTAAGCGGTAGAAATACTGTATTTTATTTTATATAATAATTGTATAATCAAAATTCTTCTTAAGGTCCTTGCAACATTTTGCAGAGCTTGCATTCTTCCTGTAATTTCAACATATTCTAAAAGAATGCGTTTGAGGAAATGTGAGTAAGAAGTCAGTGATGACTCACAAGTACTTGGAAGATGGATAAGTTACAATTTTGTAGCTTGGAATGCATGCCTATAATCAGTTTGGGAAGAATACTGTTTTGTTACCACACAAAAATTACTGTATCCGTTGCACTAATTATAATAAGCCTTAGGGTACAGAGGTGATAATGCCTTCCAAAATGTATCAGAAAATGTTATTTTTAAAACTTTGAATGCAAATTAAATACTTATGTCATCTTAGATACATATGTATTTTCAGATTTTCTAGCCTTTAGTTGAAGATACCTTTTTAATTCCATTGATTTTATGATGCTTACTTCTGCATCTGTCATTTGCAGAAAAATTTTCAGCATACTAATTGAGATATATTAGAAAAAAATTAACATGAATTAATTTGTAATAAAGATACTAATAGTAAGAGGGAAATTTTTAATAGCAGGTGAAAAATTTGAGTATTGAAACCTCAGGAGGAAAGACCAGCTACATGGAAGTACCTCTTTATAATTAAAGATAGATCAGATTAAAACACTACTATTAACAGTCTTTAAAACGTAGAGCTGCATCAAAGAGTTTGGAACATCCTGTCAGAAAAAAGTTGTAAATTAACAGAAGGTCCAAGGTTTATCATCTGAAATATGCAAGATTATAGACATACTCTGAACTGACCATAATGGTTTCTAGCATCTTCATTCTTTTGTGTATTTTTTATTTCTCTGGGAATATTTAAGCTTCTGGAAAGAGTAAAAATGCAGCTGGCATCTTTCCTGGAGGACCCTCAATATCAAGACCAGCATTCTCTACATACAGAAATCATAAAAACATTTGGAAGAGTTGGACCTAATGCTGAGCCCAGATTTAGAGATGAATGTAAGTTGCATCAGTGGGAAGATGCAGTCTTCCTCTTTCTGTCCCAAAGCTAGTAGTATGCTGGTTATATTGATTCTTTTTTTTTGGCCTTTTTTACAAAGAGTTTGATGGAAAGTCTTGTTTTCAGAGTTTGATATATCCCAGTACTTAAAGACTTTGCTAATACAATTTTCACTTTACCTAACGTTGTTGTCTATATAAAACACCAGCACACGGTGATGGATGATTTCAGAGCCAGAGGGGACTGATCACTTTGCTGCAGAGCAAATTTGAAGTTGTCTTTTTTTTAATTACTTGACATGTGAAATGCATTCCCTCCTCCCATTGCTTCACCGCCTGCTGGCATATAAATTTCAAGTATATTCCACACATCTTAAATGTAAGTGCATCCCAGATTAACAAAAACGTCTTTTTTTTATGGTCTTGAAATGTGAAGCATGTAGAAGAGCAAAGTCAATCCTTAGACTGTCTTAAAAGATACTTGTAAACAAAACATGAGTAGCTATCATGCCTCCCAACTGCAGGCATCTAGTTTAGAAGGCTAAACTCATTAGATAGGCTTGCTTTATAGTCAGTGAAGATTTCTCATGACGTGCATATCTCTGTCTTATCAGCCATATTTGTAAAACAGAATCATATTTTAGACAGCTTTAGCAGCAGGAGAGTAATAATGTCACAAAATATTTTCTGTAAACTGTTACTATTTCAAAGGTACACTGAGATACCATTTTATTTTAGGTGGTGGTGCCACAGTTTTATTTCAAGTTTGAGTTGACCAGCTAAATCCACAAGGGCAGTCCCATCAAAAGCTGTTATTTGCAGTTCTTATTCCACACTGATGTGTGATGCTTCGGATGCTTGCAGTTGCCACTTAGCAACTGTTTAATGCTAAGCAAGTCTATGGAAAGCAATTTCAAATACTTATTCCAGTATTTACTTTTACAGTTGTTATTCCACACTTGCATAAGTTAGCCTTGGTCAACAACCAGCAGTCCGTGGATTCGAAGAGACTGGATATCGCTACCCACCTGTTTGAAGCCTACAGTGCTCTTTCCTGTTGTTGTATCCTTTTTTGGGGGGAAATTTAGCTGTTAATTCTGTGATGGGGGGAGAAGGTTAATACCTGAGAAATAACTAAGTTTGTCTTTGAATGTGTGTTGTAAAACACAATCTGCTCAGTATAAAGAAGAGGTTTCACAGAAGGTGGGTGTGGTGGGTTGACCTTGGCTGGATGTCCGGTGCCCACCAAGCCGCTCTATCACTCCCTCAGCAGGATGGGGGTTGGGGAGAAAGTAACATGGAAAAAACCTCGTGGATCAACATAAAGGCAGTTTTAATGAAGCAAATGCAAAGGCTGTGCACAGAAGCAAAGGAAAACAAAAGATTTATTCTCTACTTCCCATCAGCAGGCGATGTCCAGCAGCTTCCCAGAAAGCAGGGCTTCAGTACTCATAGTGGTTCCTCCGGAAGACAAACATCATAAGAATGTTTGTCCCCTTCCTCCTACTACTTTCCCTTAGCTTTTATTGCTGAGCTGACGTCATATGGTATGGAATATCCCTCTGGCCAGTTTGGGTCAACTGTCCTGGCTGTGTCCCCTCCCAAGATCTTGCCCACCCCCAGCCTGCTGGTGTTGGGGAATGGAGAGACAGCCTTGATGCTGTGCGAGCACTGCTCAGCAACAGCCCAGACACCGGGGTGGTATCAACACCTTTCTGGCTACCGATGCACAGCGCTATGAGGGGCTGCTGTGGGGAATATTAACTCCATGTCAGCCAGACCCAATACAATGGAACTGATAGATACTTTAAAAAAAAATACAAAAACAAAGCCCTTGATCTTAACCAATAAATTAAGAAAAAATAGGAAAAGAATGGTATGGATGTATGAAATACATGAAGTTAAATATGTTTAAGATCTTTTTTCTTTACTATTAGTCATGAAGTGCCAAATGCTGTTCTGTTTTCTTGGGTTTTGTTGCTGTAGCTTGTCCCTGTGTTCAGAAGAATAACATTATCATAAGACAGAAAAAAATTTTGTATCATTTCAGAACACAATTCTTATAATACCTTAACAACCTGGTTTTTAGTTATTTCAGAGGATTTAATGGTCAATCACTTTTTACCAGGACTTAAGTGTTTACGAACTGACATGGAACATCTCTCGCCAGAGCATGAGGTAAGCAGCTATGTTTACTAACAGAGTATGAGATGCAGGTGGCAGCAAAAGTTGAAATGTAATAGTATTTAAAGCCGAAAGTTAAGGAGAGCTACTCACAAGTGGTATCAAAACATAGCATTGAGGGGTTTTTTGATAAGGAATAGTTCACATGATTTAAAAAACAGTAAAATGTATTTCTAAGCTGAGGACCTCTGCAGTGAGATATTCAACTGTCAGAAATGCATGTAGGAACACAGGTCTTTGTAGGCTGAAGAAAAAGGAAATGTTTTTACCATCTGTTTTTTTATCAAAACAAGGATACACTAAAACCATTGGCCAGAATATATCCGAGGAAATGCAGATGAAAATTGGTGGAGTGCAGGAAGGAAATGGTAGGTTCTCAGCTCCCCAGTATAGCAGGATGGACCTACTGAAGACAGTCTCAGAGAAGCACCACAAAGATGATGAAGGGACCAGAGCATCTCTCCTATGAGGAGAAGCCGAGAGACCTGAGACTGTTCAGCCTGGAGAAGAGCAGGCTCAGGGGAAATCGTATCAGTGTATATGAATACCTTAAGAGAGGGTGCAAACAGGATGGAGCTGGGCTCTTCTCAGTGGTGCCCAGTGACAGGACCAGAGGCAGTGGGCACAAACCGAAACACAGGAGGTTCCCTCTGAACATCAGGCAACACTTTTTTACTGTGAGGGAGACCAAGCACTGGTATAGATTGCCCACAGAGGTTGTGGAGTCTCCACTCATGGAGATATTCAAAACCCATCTGAATATGGTCCTGGGCAACTGGCTCCAGATGTCCCTGTTTGAGCAGGGGGTCAGACCAGAGGACCTCCAGAGGTCCCGCCAACTTCAACCATTCTGTGATTCTCTGAATTGTAAAAAGCAGATTATAATAAGCGGACAGGACAACATGGGAGCTAACAAGATTGGTTAGATCTTGGTAGAAGGAGCTTACAGAAAGTAGTGAAAGAGAAGATTTAGCAGGAGAAGCTGACTTGAGAAATTTGAAAATTTTGGCCATATGTCTATACACTTTTTTGTAAATACTTGAAGAGGATGAACACTAATGGAGATTGGAACTCATAGACATTAAGTCAGTAGCTGAAAACAAGAGATGTAGTTTAGTTGCATGTTGGGAAAATCTTGACAGTATGAACGTTTCAAGTGATGGAGGAAAAGATTGAATCAAAATGCACAAAGGAACTTCTTTCTGGTTTTTGAAGGTTAGTAGTGCACTTTCATGGATTACTTTGTACTTGAGAAAAGTAATTACTTTTCTTTATGTTTGCAAAAGTTACTTAATTGAGATGACTATATTCTCTAGGAGTTCTACGTTCTTATACTTGGTAACAAAGTCCATTCTTCCAGGTATATTTTAGTCTAATAGCCTATAGTCTCACTCTTTTATTTTTTTTATATTATTATATTATTCTATATAATTTACAATGTGTGGAACTGGAGGTGAATTAATTTGAGGAACTTTCAGACCTAAAAGGAAAGAATCTGATTTCAGAGGGCTGAGTCAGAAGGTACAGGAGTGACCTGAGCATCAGTAAAAGGCAACAGAATTGCACATCCTTACCACAGGCAGCGCTGGAGGAGATCTGGCATTGATGATACTGTGTATTCGGAGTGAGCTGGGAGGTGTTTTGGGAAGAATATATCTGAAAGCTGCCGTAGGCAAAAGTTTGATTTAGTTTAATTTTCTTTGTTCTATCATATTCACTAATGGGATAAGTGATACAAATACTAATACTTCCTTTTTGTATAGTGGTTAGTGCAACTTCTAAGGTTTAAGGGCATAGCCAGTTAAAAAGATGCCCTGAATTAGAACGAAAGAGCTTATTTGATTGAGTTTGAGTCTTGTAGCCAAAGAAGGAATTGAGGGCTTAAATAGAATTAAAAATAAATAAATAAAGACAACTCTCAGTCCTTCTTTACCACAGTCTGCGTCACTGTGATTAATTGGCTTCAGGCATGATGCCAAGTGCTTTATTTTTTTGACCAGAGAGAAATATAAATTTAAAAATATTTACTCCTGCTCCAGTGGGTTAGAAAACTCACTACAGCTTTTACTGTAGAAATGCATATTTGGTGCTTAACCAGCTCCTTGCTACAACAGGATGTTTGTAGGTACCATGATAGAGACCTCTGAGGCCCAGTTAGTTCTAGTGTCTGTCTTTCAAGACTTTTGTCTTAAAATTGTTTTCTGAAGTAAATGTGATTTACTGTTTCAAATAATTAGACATTTGCATAAACAGAATTAACCCTTTTCTCATTATTTTGGTCACTGTGGTGTTACTCACAATTCAAATGGCGTATCAGTTACAAAACCACATTTTCTTATTCACAGAGACTTGGCTCTTGTGGTTCTAACATCAGTACAGATGCTCCTCTTGGAAATGTAACGTTTGTGGAATTGGCTTGTGATCCTGTCAGCCAGTGTTTACCACTCATCCCTCATATTTGCTTTCCTTTCAGTCATTATAAACAAAAGTGGAAGTTGGACATTTAAGCCAGACCCTATCATCTTTAAAATAAACATTTCACCTTATGCAGATATTTCAAGATACTTTCCATCTCAAGTTCTTTCTTCCTCCTTCTCTACTTGCCTTCTATTTCTTTTCAAAATAATTGGATTTTGAGTTCATGGTAGTGAGACATAATCAGTATTTGATAAAAATATTTAGTCCATCTGCAGTATTGTTTATAATACTTAAGCACATCTTATGTCTTTTAAATGTCTCTGAATACAGAGTTAGATATCTAAAATATCTCTCTCAAAGGAGGTCTGAATGATGTCATATCAGTCCTATGACCAAACAAAGAGACCCTAAGGGTGTGAGCCATATGATGCTATATTTATACCATTCCTCTGTTTCGCCCTGAACTTTTAAGACAAATTAATTTGTGGAAGAGGGAAGAATTGCTCCTCTTCATCCAAGAATTATGTGACCTTCCCAGAAGGAGCTGTGTAGTGGATGTGGACTCCATCCCAGTACTCAAATTATTCTGGGTCCTTGCTGAATCAAGACTTCATATTGCTGATATTTGGAACATCTAGATTCAGATAGATGTACAAAAATGTGGAAGTGCTCCAATGCATGCATAGAAATACGAAGTCACAAAAATTACGGCTGCTGTGCTTAGAAATTTCAGTTTTCTTTTGATACAGAAAGAAAAGCTTGCTTTTTCACTGGAATTCTGAATGCATTTCTGTTGTACCTCTGTACTCTTGAGCTTAAGTACTTGCATAATATTTTATACAAATGAAGGATAGCAAATTTAGCAGTAAGAGTTGTAGTCACGTAGTCATGGACACTCGTACGCAGGTTTGAATGCTGCTTTGTGAAACATTCAAGGATGTATAACATCTGCTACCCAAGTGGTTTCAAATCGTAATTACTTCAATCGTTTTTGAAGTAATCGTTTTGGAGAAATAGTGAGCACTGGCAGAGACCTGCAGACCAAGCCACATCTTATCAGTGTAATAAATGGTTTCAAAAGATATTTTGTGCTGCAGCTATCTAACAGGGATTTGACAAACCAGCTTTATTGTGTAGATAAATACATTTAAAAATAGTTATCACTTGGTAGTAACCACTAGTGACTGATATGTATTTTAGAGATTGAAACTAGGTTTTTTCCTTTAGTGTATATATTCAGGTTTTGGTGAGACACTACTAATTTTAGTTGCTTGTAGCTTTGAGATTTTAAGTTTAGTGTCTCAGAGAAAGTGCTTAGCTTTCTCCTGAGCTGTGAGCAGAGGAAGTTTCCATTTCTGCAGTGGGTACGTGTGTGTGTGTGTGTGTGTGTGTGTGTGTATATATGTATGTGTGTGTGTGTTTATAGTTTCACGCTCTGCAATTGTTTTCCCTAAGGGTTTCAAATGCTTTTGTCTTAATGTGTTAAGACAGTACTGTTGTGGGAAGGGCAAGGAGTTATATACCTGCCCAATGAATTGTATGATTTCTTCCAAAGCCTGCTATTGGGAAACATCCCTTTATTTTTGGTATGCTGGAGAAATGTAGTGGGGGTGTTTTTAGTCTTATATATTCCACAGAAACCTATAATGCTGCAATTGCTTAAGTAAAGAAAAAAAGCCTTGATTCATGGAAACCCTGGAAGACACCAGTGAAATGATACCGTGTTTTCTTTAGCACTTACTTTCCTTTAAGATGTTGTCTCAGGATGACATTGCACTTTTTTATTTTCTTTCCTTGCTTTTTCTTTCTTGCATAATGTTGGTAAAGATACAGGTTTTTAAAGGTACTTGAAAACTCTATAAAGGAAAACAGAGGGAAGATGAATGAATGTCAAAATTAATTGCTGATAAATAAATGTATTGTTTGAAAAAAGGAAGATAAGGAGGTGTGTTGCAGAAGTATGTTTGCTTTAGCTCGATTTTAAAAAACCAGGGGAAGCAGGAGGGAGTCTTGAACTCCTGTAACTATTACAAAAACATTTTCTTCCTTAAAGTATTTTGAATGATTTTGTTGTTTCTAGCCACAAAGCATTATCAGATGGAATTTAAGTGCACTTGAAAAATAACAGAGAAACTTTTTAAACAGTTCTGCTTATGTCAGAATTAGTTGCGGAGTAGATTTTGTATGAAGTGTTAGTCTAAAAGACAAAATGTCATGTATGTCTCTTGCTTATGTGTCTCAGGTTATTTTAAGCTCCATGATAAAAGAGTGTGAACAGAAAGTGGAAAACAAGACCGTCCAAGAACCGCAGGGGTAAGACTTCCACTTCTTTTTTTCCTGTGTGTCCACATTAATGTTCTGTGGAGTCTATTCCATAATGGTGTCCAAGGCTTGTGACCAGAAATCCCACACTGACATATTCTGTATTTGAAAGCAGATTTTAGGAACTTTATCTTTAATTCAGTTTGTGGTTGTTTCTGTCTCCAATGTAAAAAAACAGGACAACACATTTTTATTTGTATCATAGCAATGATATTCTTGTTTTCCCATGTTACTTTCTTCTTAATTTTTTATCCATTTAAAGCAGTAATTGAATTTCTGTCCTGAATCTGAGAAAGCAGGGAATGCTTGGCCAAAGTGCTTAGAGCAACGCTTGTGACACGCACCTGGGGACCCTCTTTCATGGGAGTAGCCTGCAGGCTGAAGGGATTTTTCTGGTTGTGGTGATGACCTGCTCCAGGCTGCTGTCTTTGCTTGTATGTGACTAGCAGACACAAGAACAGTTTCTCCAGTGTATAAACTGGCCTACCTGTGTGAATACGCTGTTTAGTAAATATGTCAGCTTTGGGGAAAATGCCACCTATGTTGCGCTTCAGTAAAACACACATTCTACAAATGCACAGTAAACCCAGCTCTCCAGTGAGGCATCTGACACATGGTGTATATGCATCAATTCACCTCATGGTAGAGGTGGTATCATATGTGTGTGTGTCTCTCCTGATAATAAAAGAAGCTAACAGATGCACAAATCTGGAAAGCTAAGCATCGCTGTGATGAGGTGTATGTGTTCTTTAGCCTGCCTGTTGCCTGGAATGGCATACCAGCCATATAGGTACCATATCCGTACCAGGGATTATTACATAACTTAAAAAAAATCCTTAGCAGTGTTGCCAGGAAGAGTTTCAGAAGAAACAGTAGGTATCTGAAAGAGAGAATCTGTCCTCAGTCCTGATACCTTGCCTTGAGAATCAAGACAATTACTGAAACTTTGTATCTGTAGCAAACTGATAGAATTTACTTCTTGAAAGAGCTCGGGCAAAGTCCTGGAAGCAGCTGGTAGTTTGAGAATGACTGAAATAGGGAAGATGTATAAGAATTGAACAGAAGAGACATGGTGTGGAAAAAGAGCCTCGTGCACCAAATAAAATATCTCAGGCTTTGCAAGTGGCAATCAGCCTGTTCACTGGGGTAGTTGATAATGAAAGGAGTTTAGTGAGAACTGAATCCATTTTAAACATGAGCATCAGGTCAACTCTTAAAGGTGTACGATAAATGAACTTGAGACTTTGGAAGTGAAATAATTTTAAGACTAAAAATGTCCAGGTTCTACAACAAGTCACAATCCATAGTGTATCTGTTCTAATAAGGTAGTTGGTTCTGTCTAGTCATGTAGAAGTCCTGTCTGAGGGAGAAGAAATACAAAATCTTTAAGATCTGAAGAATGCACTGTCAGTCACCTTCTTTCTTCTTTCCTGTTCGTGTGGCAATATTATGAAGTAGGGACTGTACTGGTTACGTGTGTTCCAGTTGGGTGGCTATTTTCATGATGAAATAGGTATTTCTTTGACGTATTAGTTATTCACAGAATAAGAACAGGTTTAGTTGACTTAATCACTCCACAGGCATATTCCTTGCTTGCAACCTAAATAGCCAGTCAGTCAGGAACCAAAAAATGTATTCATTCATGCTGCTGTTTTTACTCAGGGCTTCTCACTGTGTTACTTCCTCAAGCTTTGTACTTTTGCCCTCATCCTTTTTGCCTTTGCTTAAATGGACCTTTCTAGCATGCATACCTCTGTGTGTGTGTCCCCAGTACTCTGAATGCCCATCCCTGTCCTGTATCCTTCAGATTCTTCAGTAGCCATGTATTTGCTTTTGTTTTTAAAGAATGGTGAATGCTTAGCTTGCCTTCAGCTATATTAAAGGTTGGCACTTAAGCCAGCTATTTCCTCAGAAAACAACCTACCAGTAATGATTCTTGGCAAGATAGAAACTTGCTAGTTGCCCCATTAGACCCATCCTACTTTTTGCAAGTAAGCATGAGTTTTATCAAGGTCTTCCCTGTGCTATGTACCTTATATAGTAGATACCCGACAGGTAGTTTTGCTAAGGCAGGATGAACAGCCAGAGTCTTTGCAGATCTGATGCTAAGCAATTGCTGTAGGCTGTCAGCAATCAACCTGTGCAAGGACATCCCTCCATGTAAGCAATGACTTAGTATTTTGACTAACAAGTTGATTCATTAAAATCAGTTGCATACATGGGCATCTGTTACTTTGCAAATATTTCCCATGTCTGGGTTTTATTGGACTCTTTTTTTTTTTTTTATCTACAAACGAACCAATATTCTTTTTTCATTTTGTTTTTAATTCTTTGTGCAATAAAAAAACCACCATCTCAGACTTTGACTATGTAAAGAAGAAAATAAAAGCAGTGTATGTATCTAAATACATAAGATAAGACTGATGTCTGATAAATGTCTTTTTGAAGTAAATTAATTTATCACTTCTTGAGCAACTTCTTGACAGCCTTTTAAGAGAGATCATCAGAAGATATGAAATTGATTCCTTCTCAGGCAAATGTATTCTGAAAGAAATTTTTTTCTCTCCCAGCATGGTGTGAATGTATGCAATATCAAACTGATTTCCTTAAAGAACACCCTTAACCTTAACCTGAAGGGTTTTTATTATCTTACCTGCATTAACTGAACTGTGAAACCTAAGGTTATGAGACAAAATTCCTTTGCAGAGCTCTTCCTAGTTCTCAAGTGATGCTGTTCAGTTGGACAGGATTTTAAATTTTTTTTCCCCAAAATGTGTACTTTTGCCTCTCTCAAATGTTTTAACCTATTTAGTTCATTAAAACTGTTTTCTGCATGGCTAGAGTTTGAGTGATCAACTTTTATTTCATGCAAGGTTTAGACTTACCTTGCTTTAGCTGGTATCAGTTCAGACATGTTAACCTAAATGTAAGAGGTCTGTATTACTTAAAATCCCTCTTATGAAAATATTTTGAAATCACAGTTAGTCCTCTTAAGCCATTGCAGAAACAGAGAAATGCAAATATGATACAACATCCAGTGTATTTTCTTTTAGAATGCAACTGCTGAGAACTGTAAGATTTGAAAAGAGTAAGTCTTCGCAATGTGTTGTTTCAGTCTTTAATTAGCCTTCCCCTTTCTTATTCAAAATCAATCATTTTACCACTGAAGAAATGACCTTTTCATGTACGTGAATATGTCCTTTTTCTTGCTAAGCCCTTACCAATTTCAGTTCCTAATTTCAGTGTTAAGTATGTATGTGACAAAGAATTTAAATGCAACTAGGAGATAAATTACTGATTTTTGTTAACAACATGAAAATGCATGCACAAAACTAAAACTGGATGCAAAAGCAATCATAAGATTCTGTTGAATCTATCTTGTCTTTGCCCCTTACTGTTAGAAAAGGTTGGTCAAATAATATGGGGTCACAGAAATAAGTTGTTTTTTGTTAAAAAAAGATCAAAATTTCTCCTTTTTAAATATTGGACAGCCACTTTTGTTTAGAAATTAACAAGGTATTTCAATCTTGGGTAACAACTTATGTTACAAGCTGATTTTTGTAAAATGTCCAGCATGAATGTTTGTTTTGGCCTAAAGCTTCCCCATAAAACAGGCAGAACTCTGTATAGCGTGTAATTCATCTAGACACTGGTCAAAAATTTTATGTTTACACATTATTTTTGTTTGTGGGTTTGTTTGGCCCTTTTTTTTTTAAATAATGAGTAAACGTATCACTACTTGTTTCAAACAAGATATTACTGCCTTGTTGGTTTCTCTGACAATTTTTTTAAAGACATGAGACTCAAATTATTCAATTTCATATTGCTTTTATTATTATGTTTAAATGCTCAATTTGTATAGTAATAGAAGTACTTTTGGAGCATATTTAAACATATTTAAATTGAAGCATTGTGGCTTATCTTTCTGTTTACAGTAACATAATATTAGATAACATAATATTAGAAAACATGAACACTTCAGTTCTTAATTTTTAATTTTTAACATCAGATGGTTGATATCCTCCAAAACTGTTTTGAAAGTCAAGTTTCCTGGTTTTCCTGGTTTTCCTCAAACTTATTCAGGATCATTAAGAATAATGACAGCACAGCTTGCTTAAAACTACAGGTTTGTCGCCAGTTGCTAGACTTTCTTTTCTGAAGTGATCAATTTTATTTTCTTAATGTCGCTAATGCTTGCAACGTACTATATTTCCCAAATCCTATTCCCTAGTTGCACCCAACTCTAGGGTACATCATAGGCTGGAATAGCTTCTTGTTGTTAACCAGCTGATAGGGAGTATAAACTGTTGTTTACATGATTTTCATTATAAAGCAAGGGCATATAATCAAGGGAAATTGCACAAGAAATCCATCTTACAGTAGTAGTAACTTACCTGCTAAGTTTTATCAACTGAAAATATGCAATTCCCTAGTTGACTGTAGATGTTTAGTCAAGCCAAAGATGTCTGGCTATGTGATTGTGCCTGAAAGAAATATTTCACTTTAAAAGTTTATAAATAACTTCAAAACAGCTATATATCTTCATCACTGGCTGCTAAATACAATAAAAAGATTATTATCTTAACTGTATGAGGTTTAACAAGGCCAA